TTAGATCTGGTAATCCAAACAACTAATTTGAAAAAAACAGTATGCAATGTAACAATCATTGGGTTTTATTTTAATTTTTTTTTTTAATTTTTTTGCAGTACCAGGGATTGAACTCACGACCTTGTGCTTGCAAGGCAGGTGCTTATGCCACTGAGCTATATCCCTGGCCCAACAATCATTGCTGAATTCCTGTCACTGTTTAGTAAAATTCTGTATCATTTCTAATGTTTTTTAAAAAATTCACGTCTTTGGTACAGGGTCTCCTATGCAGCAATGGACTCAGGGATTCTCCTGTTTCAGCCTCCTAGTGCTGGGATTATAGGGGTGCACCACCACACCCAATTTTTAAACTGGGTCCAGTGTTTTAAAATTATTTTTCATTCTTTTTATAAAATTTTTTTTAAAAATTCAAGGAAACAATATTATTCCTTTAAATTTTTACTAAAATAATGCATTTGACCTTTAGCTCTACTGCTAATGAATTAAAAACTTACCTTTGTGTGATGCTAGATATGAATTGACTTTATTTCTGTGTATACACAGTTGTATCAAGAATATTTATGAAATATAATGTCATATATTTTATGCTAGTACAAAAATGTCAAATATATTATAAACTAAATTTCCATGTAAAAAAATTTCCATGTGTTTAGTTTGTAAACTCTATTTTAGGGCGAGCCAGATAGGTCAGCAGACTAAAGTGCCTACTTAGGCAGATGCAGGGACCGGGTTTAGATCCTGGGTGTCCAGTGCCAACCCCACCCGCGGGGTGCACTGAGACAGGGATTGAGACTGGACATGGTGGTACATGCATGTAATCCCAGGGCTTGCGAGGCTGAAAACAGGATCACTGAGCCTGATCTACATAGTGAGACCCTGTACTAAATACATTTTTTTAAAAAAACCCTAAATTTTTACTCTTTCAAGGTATCTATTTCTATGACAATACTATCAAATATTTATTTATTATTATTTTTTCTTTTTTTTTTTTGCAACAGTCTCACTATACAGTTTAGGCTGGCCTTGCGTTAACTTTGTAGCCCAGGCTGGTCTCAAATTTACAGTGATCCTCCTGCCTCAGCCTCCCAAGTGCTGGGATCATGTGTGTGTGGCATCATGCCTGGCAATATTGCCAAGTTTTAATTACTGTTTGATATATTTTTCTATACCATGTACAAAAAAATTCCTTATCTACCTTTTTTGAAATAAGTTGTTCTGGCTTGTAGCTAGATGTGCCCCCAAAGGCTCATGTTGTCATAGCTGCGGCTTTGGGAGGCGGCTGGCTCTCAGATGTGTGATGCTGGGATCTGGAATGTGATGCTGGGATTGAGGATGTGAGCGAGTAGTCTGGATTAAATATAAGAGGCAGAAAGAGGCTCGCTGCTTGTTGTTTGTAGCTGGCTTGCTGCTTGCTGCCTGGTCTGTGATACTCCTCCGGTATGCCGCCCTGCCATGGAGTCAGTCAGCTACGGACCTGGCTCTACAAACTGTGAGCTACATAAACCTTTCCTTCTTTCATGTTGGGTAGCAACGAGAAAAGTAACCAAGACACAAGTCATTGGTGTTTATCTTTTCTTCTTCCATAACACACAAGAATCAGCTGCTAATCATCTCCATTTTTGTCTTAGCAACCTCCATCTACCTCAAACTTTGGAGCCACCCATGATTTCCATGGTATGTGGTCCGCATGCCCGTGTGTTGGGGACCACAAATCATAACTTGACAATAGAATCTGTCCAAGACCCTCCTTGTGCTATCTTGTGGGCCACTGTTGGAATGTGGATATCTCACTTTCTCTCAGTCACTGCTTGGCACCACTGAGATCCAGATGGTCACTGAGGATGTGGAGCTCATGGGACAAGATGAGGGCTGCTGAGGACAACAGCAAGAGTGAGCCAGAACCCCGGTGTGGGATGGATCTTGTTCCTTTTATGTTAAATTTGCCCATTCCACCACTTCTTCCACAGTTCCAGAAAAACCATGGTACCCCTCCCCCTGCACTAAAGCAACGGCAATGAGCCTGGGAGCCTTTGTCTGTGCCCATTCTGCGGCACTGACCTCCTGGCCCTCCTTTTGTGAATTGCTAAATCAGTTTCTCCTTTTTCATCCCTCGTACCCCCTCAAAAGGCATTTGGGGATCTTGGCTAAGTCCCAATACCCAGGTTCTGTGCTTATTAATAAATATTTTTAGCCCTGCTCTGTCTCTGTCTGCCTCTTCTTCCCCCCACCCCGTCTCTTTACAGACTAATAATTCCTATTATCACGCACACTTGCACTATGGTTCTATTTGCCTGTAGTGTTTACCCTTCGAGGGCCATAGATAACTGATACGTTGGCGGAAGTTATAGAATGACTTCCCTGAAAAATGTACCATGAATACCACTCACGTATATTCCTTTCCTCTAAACTCCCAAATGTACCAAAATTACTAATAGTGATCCATAAATTTTTAGTGTACATTTCCTTAGAAATTTAAATTTCTTAATGCTCTTACTGTAAAAATGTGTGGATATGGACAGATGCTGGCTTTAATAAGATGCTGCGTAGAGTACTTGGAATACCATCCTCTACAACATGCCCAAACAAGGCGAGAAAGAGCTACTGCGCTGCAGCCGCATCAGAATGTAATGGGGATGTGGAAGAGAAGCTGCAGAGCTTGCACATACACAAGAGCCTTCCAAAGAAGAGAATTAAGTCTACAGGACTGTCATTCCACCTTTGAAGATCATCCCTGAACCAAGAGGACATCCACAGTGCTAGACCCTCCACATGCAACAGACAACTAAGGTATTTATTCTTAAAGAACCCTGTGCCCCTTGTCCTTTAAACCTTGAATGACGGAGCACTGTGTCCCAAAGAGCTGACTGATACGCAAAGATTCACCTGGAAAAGAATTAAATGCCAGAATACATAAGGAATTCAAATAACCACAAAAAACTCCCAAATAATCTAACCTGAGTTGAGCAGCCATTTCTCAGAGGACACAGAAAGAGTCAACAAGTATAAGGAAGAACAAATGCTCAGCCTCATTAGCCATGGAGGAAAGGCAGCAAAACCACAATGAGATATAAACAAGAACAAAGAAAAAGGAAATATTGGCAAGGAGGCAGAGAAAGAACTCTCAAACACTGTTAACAGGGACATAAGTTAGTAAAGTCATTATAGAAAATAGGATGACGATTCTCTAGGAAAAAAAAAAATAGTAACATGGAGGCAGGCAGAGGACTCAGCGGCTTAAGTGCCTGCCTGGCAAGCCCAAGGTCCTGAGTTCGATCCCTGGTATTAAAAATAACCCAGAAAAATTAGTAACATCGCATGATCTAGTAATTGCACTATCGGGTGTGTATCCAAAGGAATTGGAACTAGACTGTCAAAGAGTGATCCACATTTCCTTGTTCACTGCAGCAGCATCAACAGCCAAGATATGGAACCAAGCAGGTGCCCACTGAAGGGTGAATAAAGAATACAAAAGAGTTCTACACACAGACTAGAATATTCTTCAGCTTTAAGAAATGATGAAATTTTATTTGCTGAGACATGGATATAACTGGAGGATGCATTTGTTACGTGAGGTAATTCATGAAGACAAATACCACATGATTTCACTTATATATCCAAGCTGAGAAGTTAAATGTTATGGTTTGTGTATAGTTGTCCCTCCAAAGTCTCATGCAGTTATGGGGTGAGCTTCTAGAGTTTGTGATTAGTTCCTGGTCTAGTTCTGGGATTATGGGTGTATGCGCTGCTGGGATTAAGGGTGTGAATACTACACCCAGCCTGGGGCAGATGGCCTGAAGGCAACATAAGGGAGCCAGACTTGCTCTCTGCCCCCACTGCTGCAGCTCCTCCTCCCTTTGCCCTGGCTTTTTGCTGTTTTCTGCTGCCAAGAAGGGTTGCTCTCTGCCATGTGTTGCTCTGCCTTGGAGCCAGCTGAGTATGGACTGAAACCTCCACAAACTGTGAGCTAAGTAAACCTTCTGTTCCTGAATTCTGGGTGTCCAGGATATTTGTCCTACCAACACGAGAAAATCAACTAAGACAAATGTAGGTAACAAAATAGTGGAAACCAGAGCCTAGGAACGGCGTGGGGCAAGTAAGGAAGCAGGGAAGAGGGTACAGGGGTGCACTTGAATAGGATGAGTAACTTTCGATGTTCTCTGGCACAGTATGTTAGCAACCACCAACTGAATATTTCAAAATAGCTGGTAGAGAGGATTTTGAATCTTTTAAGTATGAATAAATAATACACATATCCTAGTTACCCTAATCTGGTCACTATGCATTGTATAGATGGGTAGTTGGACTGTATCCTGTAAATGTGGAATTACTGTGTTGATTAAAAGTAAAAAATGTGTTTAAGCACGTTAACATAACAAGACAGAAGAAGAGTAGGATATGGCTCAGCAGTGCAGTGTCTGCCTGGCAAGCGCTAGGTTCTGAGTTCAATTCCCAGTACCCCCCCAAAAAAAACCCCTAAAAAATCATAGCAAAATACAAAAGTAGAAAATAAGTATTATTTACAACATCTTGTACCCTAGTTACCTCACTCCTTGTGCTCAGCTATCAGACATTTTGAACAACTCATCTCTTAAGGATATTCCAATATATGTAAAATCATAAATGGGATCATTCTGCCATTTTTATTTATTCAACTTACTGTTGCTGACATTTTTCCACATCAACATATTGATCAACTGTACTCTTTTCAACAATGGCTGGTATGATATTCTATAAAATTTCCTCCTATCTCAGCATGTATTATTTTACAGATAATTTACCATTAGTTAAAGCATACCGTTTAGAGAAATAGCAATGAATGACACAGATATGGTTCGTCCCCTATGGACCAAATGATCTAATAGAGGATGCTGAATCAAATGAGGGGATGAACGACAAACTATGATCATAGGTGAGATATCCATTCTAGGGCAGATAAAGTGTGCGTTTGTGGTCGGTTTTCTGCAGATAACTTGATGGGCCAGCTGCAAGAACACCAAAAGTAGCAGTCTAGTCACTCGCCAACTATTCTACTATAAGCACTCGATAAATTCTCTTTGACTGCTTTTTTATAACTGGCAGCTGTGTCACAACGTGACGATTAATAAGGAGCAAGCTTGCTCTCTGAGAGCATACGTTGTAGGGTAAACAAAAATATAAAACCTTCCACCGTGACAGGAACATAATAACTGCTCAATAAAGGTACCTTTTCCTTATTAAATGATTTCCTATCAAAAATATTATTCACTATCTGGCAGATAAATAATCTCATTCACCCACAAACCACGCGTATTTGCCACATGAGTATCTATGATTGCATATTTATACGATTTCATCGGTTTATCTTTTATCGATGCATTTCTAGTTCTCTATGCGTTGTAGATGCAGCCACCAGCTGTATGTTACACGTACTAATTTTTTCCCCGTATGCCCAGATAGCCTTAGTCTCAATTGTATCTTTTTTTTTTTTTTGGAGGGGTGGTGTGCTGGACCCGAACTCTGGGCTTGGCGCATCCGAGCCAGGGATCTCCCACTGCATCCCGCAAAGCGGATTTCGGGAACGTTCTGCAGTCCGCACCGCGCACACGCACGCAGGCCGGCGGCTCCCGCGAGACTCCCGCGTCCCGCTCGGCTGCCGGGCGCCGAGACCCTCCGGGGCGCCCGAGCGGCTCCGCAGTCCTTCCTTCCGGAGCGCGCGAGCTGTGCTCTCACAAAAGGCCGGAAGCAGCGACTCTGAACAAGGGGCGCTTTAGGGAGGGCGCCTGCGGCCAGCGGCAGGGCCGAGAGCGCGGACCCGCCCGGCCGCGGGGGAGCCGGAGTCGGCGGCCCCGAAGACGCAGCCGGCCAGTGCGCGCGCGGCTTCCGGAAGTGGGCGGGACATCCGGGGCCCTCAATCCGCCAGCGCGGGCCGCGCGCCTAGGCTTCTCAGCCGAGCGTCGAGCAGCCGATCGCCTCCCCTGAACCGCCCGCGCTCGCGCCGCCGCTCGGGGCTCCTTCTGCCCGCGTGAGTGCAGCTGCGGCGCGGGAGGGGGAGCGGCGGGAGGGGCGCGCCTCGCCGTGCGGGTGCCCGGATGGAGGGGGGGAGGGGGCGCGCGCGGGGACCGGAGCCCTCGGTCGGGACGGGGCGGCGCGGTGCGGCAGGCGGGACGGCGGGCAGTCTGAGCAGACTGGGGTGCTAACTCGGCGCTGTTTTCCTTCTTTAAAGCAGAGGCGCCTACCCCGCCATGGAGCGTGCGTTCACCCCGCTGGAGCCCCTGCTGCCCGCCGGTACTGTAACTGGGCCACGTGCCCGCCCCGGGGACGCGGCGAGCTCAGGGCCGGTCCGGCCCGCCGCCCGCCTCCCGCCTCCCGCCTCCGTGCTCCGGCCCGCGCGCGGCGTGGCTCCTCCTGCCTCAGCCTCCTCCCGGCCGTGCAGAGACCGGGGTGCGCGTCCTCACCTGCAGCCGGCGCAGCGTGCCCCGAATTCCAGCCCTCGCACGGCCCCAGCAGAGCACGAGCTCAGGGCTTAGCGCAGTCAGTGCCCCGTCCACGGTGCCCTTCCCCGAGCCCACGGCGCTGCCTCCGTTTACCCAGACAGGGCAGTGAGTGCTTGTCTTCAGCCCCTTAAAAGCCTAGCACTCACTGAGTAATTTCATTTATTTCCCGTTTTGAGATAGGGTCTTGCTGTGCGTTTCAGGCTGGCCTTGCGCTCACTTTGTAGCCCAGGCAGGTCTTGATGCTCCGGCCTCCGCCTCCTAAATGCCGGGATTACGGGCGTGCACCACCACGCCTGGCTGGGATGTTTAAATTTTCAAGTTACTCTTTTCACATGGACAGAGAAAATGAGTTTTACTGGTGACATTTATTCTTACGTGTACTAGTTGATTCCTGGGTGATGATGCTGTAAGGTTAGATGCTTTTTAAAAAAATTTACCGATTATTTATTATTTTTTTTTTTTGCAATACCCGGGATTGAACTCGGGACCCTGCGCTTGCCAGGCAGGCGCTTATTCTACTGAGCTATCTCCCCGGCCCCCGTCAGTTTCATCATTTTAGTGTTTGCTGTAAACGTGAGTTCCTGGGTCACGGTTAGGCTAGTGAACGTGATTTGGGCCGCTTAGTGAGTTCACGCCCCGAGTGAGGTGGCGTCCACTCCCGAGGCCGTGTAAAGAGTGCAGTGTGCACGTGCGTTCCTGTGCGTGTGTTAGGCATGGGAAGGTTCCGACAGGTGCACGTGCTTCTGTGATTTCCTCCCTGCAGGCTTGCTACTGAGCGTCTCTAAGGTAGCTGGGTGGCCCGAGGCTGATCTGCGGGACCACTCCTGCACCTGTGGCGCTGTTGCTGGCAGAAGTGTCATTACACAGCACCTAACTGCCTCGCGGAGGTGTTTCACACACGAACGAACTAACGCTGACAGAATGAGCATCCCAACACGCTTTTTTCTTGGCTGGGAGATGAGGTGTTTAATTACTGTTTTAAACAGCGCTGCAAGTTTTACTAAATCTCACCTAATAACATTTTGAGGATTAAAATCTCATAGCTGCCAGTTAGCCAGCGGAATCTGCAGCATTTCCAAAGCTAAACATTTGTTTCAGGTTGGTTGACTTTCAGATTTACTACTAACACCTGAGAGCTTTATTGTCTGAAGGTTGCTGATGTTTCCTGGGTTAATAGTATTGTAGTGGTGATGAGTACTGCATAATAAAGATTCTTCTGAGGAATTAATCTCTGGATTTAAATCCGAGGTTTGCCCCTTAATTTGACTTTGTGTTTCAGTTTCTTTTGTAAAGTAAAACATTGTCACAGGACTACTGCAAGCGTACAAGAGATAGTACAGCTGAAGCCCTTTGCTTCCATAGGTATGAACTGTTACATTCAACAGCAAGTCGGAAAGGGAAAGGAAAAGGACAGTCAGATCTCAGTGTCAGGGCTGAGGTGGAGAAGGTTGGGAGGAATTTTACAAGGAAAGGCAGCTCTTCTGCTTTTATCTGAAGCTTATAGGCTGTCTTGACTCCTTAAAAAATAACATCTTTCTTTCTTTTTTTTTTTTTTTTGTAGTTTTTAGGGAAGGGTCTGCAGGGTGTTGAGGGTCTCACTACTAGATTAGACTCATAGTGATCTGCCTGTTTACAGCCTCCCAGGAGCTGGGATTACAGGTGTGCACCACCATTCCCAGTCTCAGTTGCCATCTCAGCATGCCTGAGGAGGGGGGGCACAACATTTCTTATTTTAACTTTTTTTTTTAGTACTTGTTTGCAGTATGTAATGATTATATTCCTGGCAGGGAGTTGGTCCCTGTGCCTAAAGGCATTTCAGTTCTTTTATGGCCCCCTCTGTCTGTTCCTTCCTAGCAAGGCCTTGGGGAACTGAACTACTCCATCCGGTGCAGATCCCAGACACCCAGTCCTGTGCTCCCTGGGGTCATTGTCTTTCTGTTGTCCCTATTGGTGAAACTGTAGGATCTGGTTCATTTCTAGCTTTGACCAGGAAACAAGGCCCGCAGGCAAGTAATACTGACTGTAGATTAGGTCCAGTATTGACTGTAGCTCTTTAAAAATGGAACAGTTGCTGTAGGGAACAGTGCAATTCCTGGCCCTTTATAGTCATTCAGTAAATATTTGAGGTCAGCATGTTCAGTAGAGGAATTTTCTTCATCAAACATATAATATTTATGTGGAAGAGAAGTATTTATAACGTCTGTGAGTTTAATTTGTTAGCATGATATATTTCTTCTGTCTACTTGGATTTATCTTATTGGGCTGGCCAATAATGAAGCGAGTTCTCTGCAGTTTTAAGAATTTGCTAGGAGACGGAGTGTGAGACCAAATATTTTATGGGTTGATCACTGTCTCAGAAAAAGATGACAAATACCTTTTAAAGCTGCTTTTTTTTTTTTTTTTTGTAACTAAAGGAAGTGTTTACCAGTTTTTCAACTCTTGTCTAAGCTAGAGTGTGAATATATCCTGCTGCTTTCAAAAGGTATCACCATTACGTATTTCAAAGAACAGGTTTATATTATTGTTTTGTAAATGACTAACTGGAGCAGTGCATTAAAATATGTAAATATTTTTTGCTTCAGATATCCTCTGTATTTCCCCCCACAAACAAAATAGAAGTGTTTCTAAAGTAAAAAAATCCCATGATACTTATTAGAGGTTTCTTACCCTAAAACTTTATGTGATAGTTGGGGCGGAGCCTCAGTGGTACAGTGTGCATCTAGTGTTATTGAGGGCCTGAGTTTAGCAAAAAGAAAACTCAAAACCACAAAATTACAGTAGCAACAAAAAGAAACCACCAACAAAACCAAAAAACAAATGAAAAAGGGCCGGCCAGATAGCTCAGTGGATTAAAGCGCCTGCTTAGGCAGACTCAAGGACCAGGCGTTCCATTCCCGGTGTGCTCTGCTGGCCTTGCCCCTGGGCTGCAGAGACAGTGATTGAGACTGGGTGTGGGGGCGCGTGCCTGTAATCCCAGTGCTTGGGAGGCTGAAAACAGGGTCACAATGAGTCCTGCATAGTGAGACCCTGTAGACCCTGTACTAAACACACACAAAAAAAGAATGAAAAGCCTTAGTGTTGTTCAGAATTATGTGTATGTATGGATAAACAGTGAAAAATAGGATAAATTTGCACCTTTTCTGCAACATCTTCGCCGAGTGTGTGGACCACAGGCAGAGATACTGCAAGTTGTGTTTTTATGGACAACACGGACTCTTGTCTTTGTTAACAGGCATTTATTTTATTTCTAAGTTTTTTATTGATACATTCAATAATGTATCTTTGATTGTAGTACTTTTGTGTCTTTATGGGAGCATGTCAGTGGGGTCGGGGTCTAAAACTGAAGTTGCTGAGTGGAGCGGTGTATTTGGATTCCTGGTACCAAGAGGGGTGCTTGGTGCTGGGTGCTGTGGGCTGCACAGAAGTGGAGTAGATGGCTTTCATCCAGGAGTACACGATCTCACGGGACAGTCAGGAACAAAACAAGGTGGATTCTAGTTAGATGTTTCATTAGGTATTGTGAAGCTCTCAAAAGAATCTCCAGGCTTTGAGGGAAACTGGAACAGGCCGGAGTTGGCAAAGAAATTGTGGGTGGAGGGGGTGTCAGCTAGGTCTTCAGAAGAGTGCCGAGTTTAACGTGAGGGAGGCACAGGGGAATCGGAACCGCTGTGCAGGTGACAGGCCACTCGGGAGAGAGCTCCGAGCCGCCTCTGGGCACTACAGCCTTCCCGTGGGGGCAACGTATCCAGAAGGTCTGGTTGGGCTGAAGAGTGCTGCTGGAGATTCCAGATGCGTGATTGAGCAGAAGGACAAAATTAGACTGTGGAGGACAGGGAAATTTATTGCAGGAGAAGGAAGTTTTGAAAATGCATTTGCCCTCTCCCTTTGGAATAGTCGATTAAGAAAAAGCCTTTTCTCTACCCTGAAAGTCAGTTAGCTGGGTGTGGTGGCATCAGCCGGTAATCCCAGCATTCTGTAGGATGAGGCAGGAGGATTGCTGTAAGTTTGAGGCCAGCCTGAACCACATAATGGGACCCTGTCTCAAAAAAAAAAAAAAAAAAAAAAGTCAATTAAATCGTGCTCCATGTCATGGTTCTGCTTTGCTTAGCTAATATACCAGTAGTTACTGCTTTGCGTATGGCAGATCTCACAGAACAAGGCTGTCCCACAGAGTTTAAAGGGAACGAATAGTTCCCACTGTTTTATAGTAGGCAATTTAGGTTTGTTTACACGCATAGAAGCTTGCCCATATTCTAGTTGCCTGGAGCAATCAGCGCAGTGACGTGCTGTCCAAGACTGCCACCTAGGAGTTACCGGTGGCGTCACGTACGCATGTGAGTGGGCCCTGTGTCCTCTGCAAAATGGTACAGTTGCCTACCAGTGTGTTTCCACATTTTAAGCCCTTAGCTGGGCGTGAAGGCTTTCTGGTGTCTGGCCTCTCCCTGCCTCTCCTCGCTTGCGTCTTTTCATTCGCCTCTCCATGACCAGGTGTAGCGGAACTACCCAATAGGTCCTTATGTGAACACCTGTGCCAAGTACAGTATTCTGCCCTTAGAGCATGCTGAATTTATTACCTGAAATTCTGTTTCCAGATACTTAAGTTATTAAATGTTCTGAAGTGCATGTAGAGGTATTTATGTGACTCATTAACATTTTCTTTATGACAAATAGATTATCATATGATACACTTACTGCTCTTTCTGCCTATCTTATGAAGTGTGTCTCATCTATTTTTGCACTGGGGATATTATTGTACCAGGAATTGAACTCAGGACTTTGCCCTTGCCAAGC